GGGGGGGGGGGGGGGGAGGCAGAGAAAAGATTTAACAAGTGAAGGAGAACATAACATTCATGCCATCTTGTGTCAAGGACCCATAAGTTTGTATAAGTGTTTAATTTAATGTTTATATTGGTTTTACTGTTGTTTGTTAGCTGAAGGAGGTTTCTTGCAAACACATTTGTTTTGTTGCACCCTTTTTTCAATTTTTCCCATACTTTGTTTCTTTTATTTAATTTCCTTCTACCTAATCTGACTGCAGTCTCTCCCCAGCATTACTACTTGCAAGTAATATTTCTAAATAGAAAAAAAAAAGAGTTGCACCAAAAGAGTTTATATTAGACATTCAAGAACAGAATAGATCTTTATATTTTTAGACATTCAAGAATAGAGAAGGCATTTGTATTAGACATTCAAGAATAGAGTAGGCCTTTGTATTAGACATTCAAGACTAGAGTAGGCCTTTGTATTAGACATTCAAGAATAGAGTAGGCCTTTGTATTAGACATTCAAGATTAGAGTAGGCCTTTGTATTAGACATTCAAGACTAGAGTAGGCCTTTGTATTAGACATTCAAGAATAGAGTAGGCCTTTATATTAGACATTCAAGAATAGAGTAGGCCTTTGTATTAGACATTCAAGAATAGAGTATGAGTAGGCCTTTGTACAAGACATTCAAGAATTGGTAGGCCTACTAGAAAATAGGGATACTTTCTAGAATTACACAATTTTTTTAAAATTTTCAATGTTATACAGCTAATTGCAAGATTAGGGTGTACAAAAGAAGAAAAGTTTATAAATTCAAGAACAGAGTCAGTCTTTGTATTAAACATTTAAGAATAGAATAGCCCTTTGTATTATACATTCAAGAATTGAGTAGGCCTACTAGAAACGTAGACATAATTTCTAGAATTAAACAATTAAAAAAAAAAAAGTTTCTGTTATATAGCCTATTGCAAGATGAGGATTAAAAAAGAAGAAAATTTATAGATTTTAAAAAGAAAACAGGAATTCAAATACCATGCTCTCTAGAACAATTTCACAGGCTTCTGATCTTGATTTAATTTTAAATATATAAAATACTAAAATGAACAAAAATGATAATGAATTAGAGCACAATATCATTACAACATTACCTTTCCTAATTTGTCATTATAACATTACCTTTCCTGGTATTTGGCCCTGAGCTAAATCCTCCAGGCATGTTCTGAAAATCAGAGGGTGTAGCAGTTTGCTGGACGCTGTAACTCACATCTGATACATATTGAGGTGTTTCCCAATGCCATGTGATGTAGTCCCCAACTCCTATCATGACTGGATCCTTGTCCCAAGCATAGCCTTGGCCATAAACTGTGTATAAATGACAGTTTTATAATGATAAAAATTTTGTTTTTGAAAGAAAATTAATGTTTTTGTTTTTCTTAAATAAACACTAATTTAATAATAATTGTAAAAATATTATATAACTTCATGATTATCTGTCATTTAAAAAAGCTTAATAAAAACAAATAAAAATAAATAGTTTTATTATGAATCTTTACCTTTATGAACTCCAGTAGCTGATATATCAATACGTTTTCCAGTGTTGGCTATGCGACATTTGATGCTAGTCTGAGAAATCTCTGAAATGTCACATTTGTGAGGTCCAACTGAAACATTCATTATTGCAGTTTTTGTACTGAAACCTCTTCCGGTAATAAAGAGATCTGTGCCACCATAGAGTGAACCAAACTGGGGACTCATGCCTGTTACTTGAAATGTGTACACTATGTCAGGAATTCTATTGGTACTGAAATTGTAATTACATTTTTTTTATTACAAAAGAAGACAACATTACTCAAAAGAAATGCAACAATAATTTTATTAAATTCTCTTAGTTACTTCCTCAAAAGTCTTAATTCATCAAAATGGAGTTATAACATATAATGCCTTAACAAAAAAGAGGAAAACACCCAGAAAATAATTTGAAATTCAAAATGATATATCACAGTAGTGGCTCCATCATACTAGTACATTACTGTGGCAGTGTTCCACAACTTAAATATCTCTCATATTTTTAGAATTTAACTTGAATATTTCTAATTTGTCTCGTCATGTAAAAAAGACAACAAAAACAACCCATAAAAACAAAGTTTTTTGTATAAATCCTTTATATCATCATGGTTCACATTTTGAAATTAAGAAGCTGTTATGTAAATGAGTAAACTATTGGTGAAAACATGATTCATAATTCCTTTATTTTCCCTTCAAAAATAAGTTTTTTTGTTTTTGTGTCAACACTTGTGGATTTACACCAAAACTGTTTTCTGCATTATTATGTGACTTAGTGATGGCTACAGTTCTTTTAAGAAATGGGTGCCGACATATTTCCTTCATCTTCCCATTGAAAAACGGGAAAAATTGATTTTTGTGTATTGGGCTGGAAATTCAGAAGAATGAGTTGTCTTAATGGCGACGAGTCTATGTGCTAAGTTTCAGCTGGATAGGATGATAGGAAGTGGTTTGCGTCTTTAAAAGATTGTAAATTTTACCAGTTCCCAGTCAAGAAGGCAGTGGACAGAAAGACTTGGTCCACGAGTGACATAACTTTCTGATATGTCTGGGCCGCCCTATTTATAGGGAGTGCATCAATGGGTTACTCATTTGCCATTAGGAAGCAACCTGAACACATGACGCACCTTGTGTTATTCTCCCGCCCTATCTGGATGCTCTATATTGTCCTTTTTTTTAAAGGCTTTTTCTTTGAATTCTTCTTTTGCTATCTCTGCTTGTACCATACTCTTAGAACCAATAAAAAGCTATAGTTCTCAAGACATGGTTTCACGTATTCTAAATATATTTAAACCTTTATTGCCACCAACCAATCACCCACTCGGCACATGCTACATTATATATTTATAACTCGTTCTAAACATCAGGTTAACCAGGCCCCTATAAATTTTTCAAGGATAATTTTAAAGCTGAATATTTTTGATCCAGCATACGATTCATATATTAGTATAATTTTAAGTCTACATCTTTAGAGGATATTGTAATATTAAGTAATAAAGAGAGTTTTCACATTTGTCGGGGGGGGGGGGGGGTGGTTCCCCCAAAAAAGACCACTTAACTTATATAAATATTAAAGTGTATCTTGGATACAAAGACAAAACACGAACAGACATAAGGGGTTTGGGTTTTGACTTTTAAAAAAAGAGATTTTACACTTTGGGGGGGGGGGGGGGGGTCGTTCCCCCAAAAAAGACCACTTAACTTATATAAATATTAAAGTGTATCTTGGATACCAAGACAAAACACGAACAGACATAAGGGGTTTTGGTTTTGACCTTTACTCGGGTTGGAGTCTCTAGGGATTGTCAATTTGCCAGCCACAGGAAATCTGCCAGAAGTGAAGTAATTGACAGGCCTATTCAATGTGTTAAGTAGTTGCTCTCTGGGATGTTCAAGCAACCCTATTTATAGTGTACAGGCAAGAAGTTTTCGTTTCAAAGTTTTAATTGCATCCCTAATGTGCACCATTGTTCAGCAGCACAATTTGGATACTTTATATTGTCCTTTTAAAAATATAACAATTTTCCTTAGGATCCTTTTGCTTTGAACTTTATCTTAAGATTTTTTTTCAGATCCTATTTCTTGTAACTTTTTATTAGGATTTATTTCTACCACTCCTTTTTATACAACACTCCAAGAACCAATAAAAAGCTATAGTCCTCAAGAATCAATAAAAGGCTATAATCCTCAAGAATCAATAAAAGGCTATAGTATTCAAGAATCAATAAAAGGCTATAGTCCTCAAGAATCAATAAAAGGCTATAGTCCTCAAGAATCAATAAAAGGCTATAGTCCTCAAGAACCAATAAAAGGCTATAGCCCACAAGAACCAATAAAAGGCTATAGTCCTCAAAAATCAATAAAAAGCTTTAGCCCTCAAGAACCAATGAAAGGCTATAGTCCTCAAGAACCAATAAAAGTCTATAGACATTAAGACCTGAATTTCTTTAATTTATAAAATAATATATATATATATATATATATATATATATATATATATAAATCTGTCAGCTGTCTCTTCACCACAAGGCTACATTTAAAAAAAACAAAACTTACAGACATTGAATGGATGTTTTCTTTATAGTTGAGAAATGTTTGCTTACTCTAAGACTTCACAACCATTGCTTGACAAAGGAATTAAACCTTCTTTCCATAAAGTGTAAATATATATTACTAGAATGCCATTTTGTGTAAATAAGTTTAAATTATTTAAATCAATATTAATAGCTTTTTGATTTTATAAATTAGTAAAATGTCATAGTTACCTAACATCTAGAGCTATTTACTATTTTAACATACAAATGTTTCCCCTAAAGTAAAAGAACACTTCAGAAGGCACAGAACTCAGCATGCAGACTCATTTTTAAATCAAAGAAACATGACCACATTCAACC